CCCAACATTTTACAATAAGTTAAATGTTTCTGATTAAAACAGAGTCAAAATTATTTGAATAACATAAAAATGTGTCAAAATCATTAATTTGTTCCAAAAAAACATTTGAAGATGCCAAGTTCTCGTGAGGGTACTTCTTTCTTGATGACTTAACAAGTGTCATCCTAGGTGCAAAGCAAACGGACCGCTACCTAATGTCCTAATTTCTGACAGCAATATTTGATTTTTGGTGATAATCATAGTTTAGAATGGTTATCCTTGGTACACGAACTATAATAACAAGCCGTTACTGGATACCATTTATCCCGCCTTAAACAAATTCTCGCTTTGCAAGCCAGAGGCATCGGGAGACTCTTAATAACATATCGTGCTCGTTGCATTTCCCTAGTTCTTCTTACTCGCTCGCCCGTTCCTTGGATCTTCTTCTTCACGGTCATTTCGCAGACAATTTTTTATGAGCCGTGCTTTTGATTTGCTTGGATCTTCTTCTCTTCCCGATTCGCTGAGTGCATTAATTGTGTATGCTAAAATTTGATGACCCGTAATAATAATTCGCATTATAATTATTAGCATTATGAGAATTATGAAGAAACGATTTTATGGATACTTCAGGAAATTTTGAGGATGTGCTCTGAGAACAAATCCATGATGTAGTCTCATTATGGAACGCTAGGCATGTCATGCAGCGAGGCTTAGCTTTCTACTATTAATTGAGTCTTTTTGGAATATTGGGTGGTCCATCTCTCATTTTGGATATTCTATAGTGATGAAGCTTCCTAGCAGTAATTGGCCAGTTTTTCAATTCACTTTCCATTCATTTTCTTAACTTTCTTGTTCTGGAACTAGCGTAAATCCTCTAATTAGTCCCCGGGGGACATTATTTCTCTAACACTACTATAGCAAACGAAATTGATATATCTTTGTGTTGAAGAGAAAATTGAATCATACGCACAAACGTTGTTTGATTGTGTAAATCAAACTGCTTAGTCTGCAGTGCTCAGTGGAATTTATGTTTACAACTGTGTAATGATGAAATGGTAAAGTTATTGTGTAAAATGCTTTGCAGACGAATGACGCTTTTCTGTATTTTACTACATGGGGGACTAATTTAAGATGAGGACTACTTAGAGGATTTACGATATCTTTTCTTGAGCTGCTTATAATTCTCTCTTTCCATATTGTCTAAGTTAAATTTTATTGCAAAAAGTAATCAATTCGTCCCAAGTGCGAAGAAAACGAAAGAGTAAAATAAAAATGCTGAATTTTTTTTCGCATGAAACATAATCATTTATTATCCAAAATCGACTGTAATATAGTTCAGAGTCAAAAAATTAAGGCCAATAGGGAGAGTGCGGACCTAAAATGTTTTTCGTGATTTTGTGGTGAAAGCAAAGTTTTTCATAAATTTTGCTTCCGACACGAAAAATGGCAAAAGGTTGCCTAATGGCAAATAGCTACTAAAAACAAACGTCGTTTAGATTTTATGCTAAACTAAAATGTTTTTGTTTATAAAACAATTATTTAGTGTTAAAAACCGCACAATATCTCTAAGGAATTACAATTACAACATTTCCATTTTCGTTAACTATCTGTTATCTTATTCCATCTAACATTATGCGACAAAATCTAAACTTCCATTGGTTTTCGCCTTCCCTAATTTTGTAAATGCATTTTGACCTTACTTTCCATATTATCGCTCGTATGACAAATCCATATATAATTACATATTCCAAGTTCAATACAATCCATTATAGTGTCCTTCTCAAGTTCAATATGCGCAATTTGTATCCCATAGCCTGCCCAATTTTCGCCTTTTTCTATGCAATTCACGTCTCACTTTCAGCTTTTCCTTTGTCAAAGACCAAAATTTCGGCGGAAGCGACGTTTCATTTTATGTTCCGCTCGGGCGTAGCTCTTCCTAAGTTCTTTTTGTATGTATATTGGATCGGTATCGTGGATCCAGCCTTTGAAGTCTATTGTTCTCCATCAAGCCTCCCTCCTTTGTTTGTGGGAATTGCCCTCAAGGTGAAGGCTATTTTGTGTTTTCCTCTTCTTAGGTTCAAACTTGGGTGTGAAGAACAAATTTCCGCTCAAGGCGCTAAAATGAACAGTTCTCAGCAATTAATTGACCACAGAATTGTCGATCTGCTGAAGTTAGATATGTTATTTTGTCGATTTTTATAATGACACGACAACAATAGCACGGACAGGTGTACTATATCTTTCATTCTTAGCTCACCCTATAACACTATTTTTGTCGAATCATGCACCCAAATATGGTTCACAATCAAATTATTTCTGTTTTTAAAAATGTTATAAAAGATTTTATTTTCTAAAAATTAATAAGAGATCTTCTTTCACGTATTTGTCTCCTTAGAAAAGAGATAAAGAGAATTAGAATTCTTACCTAAAAATATTTCTTTATAGTCCTTCTATCGATACAGTCGTAATTTTTCCTATTTTCCTTGAATTAATGTTGTGCTCTGTCCTAATTTTGGCTTAATAGTAATAAGTTGCTTGAATTTATAGCTTCGTAGGAACGAATCTTAGGAATGTTTTCATATGTTCCTTCAAATTTCCGCTGATGCCAATATTTCCGTTTCAGTTCAATGTTTTCAATTAGCAAAGACATGATTTGACATTTGTCTGGTATTTCTTTCATTGATTTTAAACTTAATAGTTTTTAGATCACAAAAAGATTGATTCTGTCAAAATTTATTCATTTAAATCATTTTTGCACTTTCATATCGTTTGAAGCGATTAAACTCATGAATAATAATTGAGATGATTAAAATTCCCTAAAACCTTTTCCCATTGTCCGATGCCATATTACAGTTTTCAACTTTCCTCATCCTCTTAATTCCTCACAAATTGCACAAATCCGACACCAGAGGTTTCAAGCTGTGACTTTCTCACAGCGAACACAGCGGCGGATTTGCATGCAAAAGAAACAAATCCAGTTTAGGCTTTGTAGTTAGAGGTGGTCTTTGCGCATTCATTAAATCATCAGTTCTCCACTGGATTGGATCAAGCAAGACGCAAAGGATTATAATATATCTAAATTCCTCATATGGAATTTGCATCAAAAGCGACGTTTATGGCTTGATGATTAGGAATTGGAACAATTCCATAGGAAATATTGCGGTTTAAAGAAAGTTCTGTCATGTAAACATTAGGATCCTATTCCTTGATTATGTTCATACATCTTGTTTCCTGCTTTTAAAGTTGGCTATTTATGTTTTCCGAAAATTATATTTGAAAACATTCTGCAAAGTTCGCTTCGTAATTTAAATCAAACTTGACCCAGAAATCGGCCTCTCTCTCTACCAAACAATACACACCTTATTCGATTGGTTAATCAGTAATTTTGTTGCGGTAGCGAATATTTTAAACCCATGCGCATTAGTTCACACTCCCTCCTGGAATTTCCAGTGAAAGTCAAGAGAAAGGCAAAAGAAAATCGCCTTCTTCACCCTCAAAACGACTGTTTGGGCTGTGAATGAAAGCAAAACGCCGGCACTCTTAGGAAAGACACATACCCATAGAAGGAACGACGAGAGATCAGAGAAAGTGGACTTCGGAGGGGTGCGCGGCCTGCCGCTTTCGCTTTTCGCCCACACAAAGACCTTAAATCCCAGAGAAAGACTAATATGGGAAATCAAAACAGCGCGAGGATCAAATGGATCGAAGGGGTCTCTAAAATCAAATATGGTTTCCTCTCCAAAGGCAGTAGCCTCAATAGACTTCTTATCCCCTATATTATGGGAAGCAAACCAAAAAGTGAGCTTGTTTGGGCAGCAATAGCCGTATAAACACTGGTGTCACATAGTGTCTATCGATTGCTTTTGATTGAACTTCGGATTGAACTTGATTTATTTCATAAGTTGGTACTGTTATTTGAGACGGGAGTAATTTCGATCCCGATCCTTCAGATTTATCTAATTCCATATAAGCGTACATTTTTAGTCCCTAAACCTAACATTACTCACCTTGTTCCGGCTATACTGCACCCCGTACCCGCCTCGAAAAAGTAAAAAAAAGTCGGTATCGATCGACTCCATTAGTCGACAGACACCTACAATTTTCTTTGCTCTTTTCAACCATTTATTTCAACCTTTATTACTATACACATGCAACTACTATGTAGGAGTACTGTGAGCTATTATTAGTTCCAGTACTCCATATACCTAACACTGGAACTAGTAATAGCTCACAGTACCCTTATAATATGTTTGTATCTAAAGAAGGTTGAAAACTTTGGTTGAAAATAATTACTTTTAAACCAAAAGTTTTGCTGCCTACAAGCACACAAGAAAGACGAAAGTTGAAAAAATGGTTGAAAAAAGGAATGGAGTCAATCGATACCGACTTTTTTTACTTTTTCGAGGCGGGTACGAGGTGCAGTGGCCCCCTTATTCCTAACAGTACTTCAAATCAATCCTTAAGAATGATTTGTAACTTTTCGTTAGATTTTCCTTTACTTATAGTATTTTGATACATTATCATGCTAGCTTCTTTGACGCTTTCTTCAGCTTTTTTAACCGTAATCTGTATTTTATTTCATAGTTTGCTACAACAATATCTATCCGTTTTTATTGTTGGGTATTTCGTATACTTCAGTGTAATATTTTGAGCAAAATCTAGGCGTTGAAGGGCAAACATACATCTTATATTATCACTGTGCAGAAACGGTGAATCACACCACTCAAGTCTGTGGGCCCAAACAATGCAATCTAATATAATAAATGGTTGTGGAAAGCCTAAAAGAAGAAGTAAAAATTTTCATTTTAGCAGACAATGAAATAAGGCAAACCCAAACAACTAAATAATGAAAATGACAAAGAGGCTAGCGTGATAATGAGTGTCGTTTCCAAAAAGTAACGAAAATCGAAACCGTTTCCAGTTCTCTTTAAAAAACATTACTTTTAAAATGTAGCTTTAAAAATGCATTTTATCTGTTATTCATAGAAATGGAGGCAATAGATTGGGGCAAAAATAAATAGTGCAGGTGAGGTTTGAACTCACGCGGTCATACGACCATTAGATCTTAAGTCTAACTCCTTAACCACTCGGACACTGCACTGCTCTTTGGGTTCTTTCAAGATTTGCACCATAAGCTTATCATATATTATAGCAAACTGTCCTCTCTTGCGGATTATATCTTTACTTTTTATAAAAACATTTCGATATACTTATCTGTTATCGACACAGCTGATTTTGAATTGGATTTTTTAGTCTGGGAATGCTCTTTAAAATCCCTCGGTATGGTAAAAGTTTAAATTTCAGCGGATTTTACCCACTTCATTTCGCTTTAAACATTATACTGAAAGGTGAACATTATTATTCACCTTATTTTTCTTTATAAAGCGAACTTATGCGCCTCTCTTCAGGCAAGGCCATTCCCTTCCCTTTTACGCTCTCTCAAATCAAATGAGCCATTCCAAATTCACATAAGGAAAACAAAGAAACACAATAGGTTCCAGCTTTTTGTCACCTGCATCCACAACTGCACCAAAGTTGCACTTAATCAGTTTTTCCGTAAATATTTAACGAGATCTTTTAATTATACTCTTTTATATATTCTGAACGAATATTATTTTAACTAATAATTCGGAAAGTTATTTTATAACTTGTGTTATACTTAGCTAGCCCTAAAATTGCCTGCTCACATTTTTTACTTGAAAATTATAGTTTAAACCAATTCCCCAATGTATCCCAACATTTTACAAGAGAACGGACTAATGATATCTAATTAATCTCATCGACTGGTATCAAAGACGTCCGGAAAATATAACTCTGGCAATCCAAGACCACTCCACACCACAACTATAACATAACTTGCTCCAATATATTCATGGTCAAACTATCATAGTCCAGAAGCTTTTGATCTAGGTTATAACATTTTATGACCCGCTCCAAATTTTGAAAATAAGTTTTTTGTTTAATTTTGCCTACAAAATGTAAAGAATCAAACATAAATCAGTCTGAGTCCTCCGACATTCAGATTTGGATAATTATTCGTTTTTAAATACCACTTTTCTGCGATGCAATCCCTGGAGCAAGGATTTTCTACGTCATTGGCGTATTACATTTCTACCGAGAGATCTGTTTTTCATTTCCCACTAGTGATCTCTTTATCCACTTTTTTTAAATTCTGTAACAGCTTTAATAAATTTTATTTGAGTTCATGACCTTTCTTGCGCAGTTATACTAAATTGTGAGATTATTGCATCATTTGTCTCTGATTCCTTGTACAATGTCATCTTTACTGTAATTTGACTTCAATTTTGTTTGGATGCGCCTGAAGTTATACAAATATTCACATTTGATCTGTGCTCAATTTACTTTCACCACAATGGATTTTTAATTAAACGCTGAAGCGTTACGTGCGATGAGCACCAATCGTTTCAACAAAAAGATGAAACAATCGTCGTTTTCGGGGATTTCAATACCCCAAAAAGGTGATCACCGTTTTGATCGCCTGAAAGGACCACGGAGCTCAAAGCACAATCAGAGCTCATCCCGAAGAATTATTATCCGTCCGCAGAGTCCTTTCTCTTTGTTTGGATTTGATTAAATTCCAACAATTTTCCATTGTTGGAATGGAAGACGTAACTGCGCGGATTTCTTTTTTAATTGTACTTAAAAATTTCATTCAATCTTTGAATCTGACATCACTTCTAAGTCATTGCAGGTGTGTTATCTTATTTTGATTTTCTTCCTTCGTCTAAACATGTATGCAGATCTGTAAAAAGTTTACATCTATCGTATTTTGCTCTAAAAAACATACATTAGAGCTCATTTTTCAATCATGTTTCAGTCCTTTTCTTTTTTGTGCTTCAGCGATTTTCGACTCAGATCCCCTTTGTATCACGAGAAAAAATTTTCATTTCACCTGGGTACATAACAAACTTATCGTGAACTCTCTAAAATCCTCGAAAATCTTTCTCACATAAATAGTAGGCTGAAAATACCGATTAAAAACGAAAAATTTCTCCTTCTTATATAAGTAAAATGTTATTATGTTACATCAAAAATACTGAAAAATGTTCTTAAATAAGCCCACCCAAAAATAGAGCTAAATGCCTATTTTAACTCGGCAGTCAGATCGACCCTCCAATAATGATAAGGTAAATGCCATGATTTCGCATTATCCAGCAAATCAAACATTACACAATTGTCACCCAATCTCAATCCGCTATTGATTTTCCTTTTTAATTGCTCCTGGATCCTCTTCTGTAATTTAATGAGTTAAATGAATCATTCCTTCTCTCTTTATAGTGACTTGCCTATGGATAGATCCTCTTTGAAGATGTTCTTCATGTTAGCGATAGAATACGTCTAATCGAGAGTCTCGTTGATTGTGATTGAACCAGCCACTCGATTGTTTCATTTCCCCTGCGGCTTCCCAAAGTCAACACAATCGCGCCAATTTGGCGGAGAAGATGATTCCGAGAAGTCTTCGGGAGAGAAATCCTACGAAATCCTTCCGAAAAAATCCGCGCGAAAAATCCACAAGATAAACCCTCATCCAAAGCTAAGCAAAAGGTTTACCGTAGTTTTGGGTAATCCACGAAAGTCATAGAGTCATGAAAGGAAAATCATTGCTAAGAGTGAATTAAACTCTTGTAATTGAGAAAAAATCTAAGGAAGTCTTAGGAGTGAAAGTAGGTCTCAAAAATCCCAATCTTGCTCGAAATCTCACTGAAATGCAATACAAAAAGCCTCTGTCTAAAACTCACTTTCGCTTATGAGGAACCTTTTAGGATCGATACCCAGAGAATTTGAAACGTTGCAACTTTTTGTGATTTGCATGTATATAAAACATTAACGCTTAATTTTTGAATACAGATAAAAAATTTACACTTTTATTATTCTGTTTAAAATATAGGTCATAATATCCTATTCATAAAAATATTTTAAATATGAAAAGAAATTAATGAAAATTCTACACTATAATTTCCCATTTTCCCTTTGTCTGCCGGACGCAGTTAGGCCCTTTTTTGAGGCTTCCGGACCACAGGCTCGCGGCTACCCCACCCCCTAAATCGGCCACGGGAAGACGAATGGCGCAAAAAATTTTTGGGGTGGTCCCGCCACGAAAATTGACTTTTTCAGGATTTTTTGGTATTTTTTAAGGGCAACTTTTTATCCCCCGTTACTTTTCGCTGATTTTGGTGTCAATCGACAGCTAAGCTCAAGGGAAGACGATTGGCACCAATTTTAGCGGGATAGCCAAATACGGCTCGAGAGTTATTGACTCTCGAAGTTGCCCGAGGCCAGAAATTGCAACTTTTTTTCCCCCCGTTACTTTTCGCTGATTTTGGTGTCAATCGACAGCTAAGCTCAAGGGAAGACGATTGACACCAATTTTAGCCGGATACCCAAACACATAGAAGGCTGCGCCCGGCCGAGCGGCGCGAAGCGCCGCGAAGGCGGGCGCAGCTGAGCGCGGGGCAGTCGGTAAGGGGCGCTGGACAGTCGTAGGTCTTAGAAAAACCTAGGGGCAGTTTAATGCGCGAAGCGCATTAATTAAAACACCCAAAGGCATACGAATTGAATCTCTAAACCATATATAGACTCCACCGAATCTAGCCGGCGTTAGCCGGCTAGTTAACTCTTAATTTCTGAGTATATCGAAAACATTGTTTATGTTCTCGTAATAGACATTTTCAGATCGGATTCCTCCAAAAAACAGCATTCCAACTATACCACACCAGCCACTCATTCTCAATACTTAACTTAGGATAATGCTTAATGTGTCGTTACGTTGAGTATTTTTCTGGAATTGCGTTTCTTTAATCTTATCTCCTTTGCGCAATCATACCCGAAATTTTCTAACAATTTCACTTTCTCTTTTTCATTAGTCTCAGTCACTCAATATTCCGGTCCATGATTTTTATATTCCAGTTTCAAACGTTATACACCTTTTAGACTTGCAATTTGAAGGATCACGGTAGCTGAGTTTTGCTGATTTTTTCTAGCTTGCTCTCCGCTATAAGCTTTCGACCAATTTTTGGCTTCTATACTGTCCGCTACTACAACCTTAAACCCAATTTTGCTCGCCGAATTACAATATGCAAATTTATTTCGAGAAAACATGTCTAACTATAACGCTCTAAGTAAAACTTTCGGTAATCATCAGAAAGTGGGTACTTCTTTACTTGGGGGTAGCATTTTCAGACAATTTTCACAATAAATTTTATTCAAAGGAAACACAAGGAAAGAGTCTATTTGAAACAAAGAAATATTGTCTGAAAATAATCTAGTATATAAAGATGCTATTGTGAAAATTGTCTGAAAATGCTGCCCCCTCCCCCAAGTAAAGAAGTACCGAAAGGGTATCTAAATATTTTGAGAGATATCATTTTGGAGAATGCTTTATGACGGAATATTTTTGCGCGCCCATATCTCGGACTTCCAAGCTTAATCCGATACCTAGAACATTCCCGAAATGCCACAATCACTTTGTTAAAATTATAGAGGTATTACTCCAATAACTATCACTTTTGGAATCACTGTATTTCTCTGCAAATGGCTTGTTGTGTCTCATGCAATTTCTTTCATTGATTAATTTACTTTTTTCAGGACCACCAAACGACTGAACAGAAACTAAGCGGCTTTAAACCGATAAATTCATTCTTCAGCTAAGCTTGAGCACGACGGACGACATCAAGGTGATCAGTAATATTTGCAGCGGCATTACATGAGCAGAGCTTCTGCGGGCCGGCGGCCGCCTCCGCAAAACTTTTGGCCTCTATCCAGGCACTATGTATTATCGTCATTGTTTCTAGTCACGGCATTCTACAGGCCAGCTTATTCCCAATACCTGGTTCATGAATCCAGCCCCTCAAGCTATGGAGCCAGTTATTACGAAGTAACGGGCCCAAAAAACCACCTCCGTGGTATCAGGCGGTTGCCGGGTAATCCTCGATACTATGGTCGAGATGACCATATTCCTGATGGAGATCCAGACGAAGACCTGCCGGAAAAGTCAATCTCAGGTGGACCTCAACATGTGCCAACGCCGGGTGAAGGGGTTGAATCGCAAAGTCAAACTGGCAGAAAATTTGTGCCAAACGC